ACCCTAGTGACCTACTTATAACTTCATCCCCACAGTTAATTCTGGGCAGTATCCCTGACAAAATTAAATTATGACATTTTTCAGATACTTCATTCTTTATTTAGTGCCTTAGGGATTTTCAAGAATTAGAAGTGTGTATAATAACAGAATGCCAACCATATATATTTGATATATCCAATGCCAATAAGTTGTTTCACTCATTCCAGAGCTTTCCCAGCTAGCTACATTATTTGATATACACTTAATTCTGTCTATGTCCCGCTAGTGGCTTTCTTAGCCATTTTCAAGTATTATGACATATTGTCCTTTCAATACAAATCTTCATGCTGGCAAAGCGAGTTTTTAATCTGCTTGAAATTTCATATTTTTTTAGATCCAAATATAGCTTAATTACTGAGCTTGATAAATTATAGTGGAATTCTATGGTATCAATATAGTAATTTATGATTTTTTGGTTAATTGTAATGTATATATAAAACCAAAAATATATATATATATATTGTTTCACATCCTCCACATGTAAAATTGTATATGTTTAGCAATCTGTGACAAGCAGCAAATGAGTACAAAGGTTGTAACTAGCAGAAATAATTGTTTGCTTAAATTCTTTATTTACTGTTATTTGTAAATAGCGATAATGTATATACATATATTATATATAATAATTGAAATGTGACCATATTTTACAGTCTATCTCTGCAATTACGCTAGTTTTTCTCGCCAGGCTTTTATACTAAAAAAAAAGAGGGTATCTAGCAAACACTCGGACATTCGCGGGGATCCCTGATAATTCTAGAAACTCCAGCCCGTATGCTCCCAGCGTCACGCGACTTCCGCTGTCGTAACACTGCCCATTCCTTAGCCACTTACATTAAACAAATGGATAATTAACAATACCTTAATTAAATGTACAGAATTTACAAACACAAAATTAAAATACAACAAAGTCTCTTAATTTTACAGTACATATCTTCTTCCATACTGGTCTCCATCTCATTGGCTTCTGCTTCACATGGGGTTCATCTGCTCCATTGGGAAATGTCCCGTTATTGGTAGCAGTCACATCAGTGGTAGTAACTTCATTAACGGCTTCACAGTTTTCCTTCTCAAAACCATGTAGAGTTTCTTCTTCAACAGTGGCTTTTTCAGGTGACACGTCTTCAGCAGCATCATTTGTTCCATTGAAATGTCCTGGACCGTGATAACGCCAAAGCCTGTTGGCATGCACCACCTTTGGCTTACCTTGCCGACCATATTTTATTCGGAAAGTCACGTCTGAGAGATGATCCACTATGTCATATGGACCTTCTCATGGAGAAGACAACTTAGGAGACTTCACTTTGGTCTTCTAGGGATTATACAACCATACCTTGTCTCCTGGTACAAAGCTGACTTCAATAGATTTCTTATCATAACATAGCTTCATGGAATCAGCAGACGTTTTTAAGGTCGAACGCACCTGATGGTGAATATCATCCATTCTTTCAAATAACACTTTCACAAACTCTGGCACATTTTCAGGCAACTGTTTGTAAAGTGGGCATCTTGTTATCAGGTCCACTGGCAACCAAAGTTCCCGACCAAACATCAGCTTTGCTGGAGTGTATCCAGTAGCTTCATGCTCTGCTGTTCTATAGGCCATCAACAGTGGAGGGAGTAAGACATCCCAGTCATCTTGGCAGCTATTACAAAACTTTGCCAATTCCTGTCACAGTGTCCAATTGCACTTTTCTACCATCCCATCGGACTGTGGTTGGAGTGGCGTTGTCCTGGTCTTTCGTACGCCAAACAACTTGCAACATTCATGGAACACAACTGATTCAGAGTTACATCCTTGATCAGAATGCAGT